CCCGACAGGGTCTTTAGATCTCCGACAGTTACACGCTTCATTCTCTTTAGTTCACAGGCCGCGCTCTGCCCTCGGCTGACTCACCAGCACACATTGGACATCTGGACTGGAGCTGAATGTTCTAGTGCTCGATGCAGTTTGCTTTCTGGGTCAGCACATTGTGAACTGTGGCATTTAAGTGGTCCTAAATTTGTCTTGCATATTATAATGCCATATAACCCTGGCTTAGCTCCAATTTTTATCTCTGTTTTTTTCTTATTGTTCCCAATGTGATCATCTTTTTCAAGAAAGCTTGCTTCGAGCTAGTCTTGCATCAATGATAGCAGTAATGTTTTCCACTCTCAAAGTGAATCTCTTAAATAAAAGATGCCACTGTGTTGCAAATGAAAACAAATCTGTGCTAAACTAAATGTGTGAGAAAAAAACTGCAGGGGTAGCTCAACTCTCCTTGTCCTAACCTCTTTTTTAAAATAGCTGTCAGCATGATGAGAAAAAATGTTAAGGTAGAAAGCATCCAAATTAAGAATTTAAAAATATTTCAAGGTATTTTTCTCGTTACTTTGCTCTGTTCTGTTGGCTTCTTTCAATCCTTATTTTACATTTACCTATAGTCTTTCACTCTCTTCTACTTTTGCACTGTGATGCCTTTCTTCTGCCTTCTCATATGATCGTATTACAGATTTTTTCTGACTACATTGATACCCAATTAATTTATTGAATGTTTATGTTTAATAACAACAACAGGCTGTTGAATCTCAGAGGGAAGGCGGGGGTGGTTGGGTGGGTGGGAAGAGATCAACCACGGAACTTGTATACATATATGCATAGCCCATGGGCACCGACAATAGTGTGGTGAAGGCCTGCGGTGGGGGCAGGGTGGGCTAGAAGAGGGTCAAAAGGGGGGGAAAGGGGACATATGTAATACTTTTAACAATAAGGATTAAAAAAAAAACAAATAAACAACCACAACGACAAAATAAAAACAGATTTTTTAAAGAAACATAAGCCTTTATGTAGAAGAGTTAGTAGGATACATTAGTGAATGACTCAGTTCTAATTTTTAATGAATGTCATAACCAACAACTATTATTAGCCAGTGTTACTATTCATGCAGAATATACTATACACACACCCACGCAGCCAGATCATCACTACTATGGATATTTCAGTTTTCCCTCTGATGAAACTAAATTGGGCGCAGACTTGGCAGGTTTTACATATACTATGCAACTCATCACTGTTTCCAAGATATTTACTACACAGTTTTACATGTGGTTTTATATATTACATACGAATTTCCCAGACACCTGGGTTGCTCAGCATCTACCCGATAGGTCAGTTTCCTATCAACATCTGGCAGGTCATGGGTTTTCTTTTTCCCCATTTTTTTCCTCTTGAAGAAAGGCACTTACCAGGTTTACTGTGGTTGCTGTGTGGTTTCCTGGAAAGCTTTGCTAGGTTATAATTTTTCCTCCGACACGTTTAAGAAAGTATGGCATGTTGCTTTTTATTGAATCCCAAGTGCACGCCCTATGCTTTATCTCATATACCTCTTCAAGGATACTTGAATACCAAATAGCCATCAGAAGAAAGTATATCACCTCCTTCCAGAGCAAAGGGCAAGCATGCTTAATGTCCAGGGTAAGAAAGAATGCCTTGCCCTCACCAGTTTGGCTCAGTGGATAGAGCGTCAGCCTGTGGACTGCAAGGTCCCAAGTTCGATTCTGGTCAAGGGCATGTATGTACCTTGGTTGCGGGCATATCTTCAGTAGGGAGTGTGCAGGAGGCAGCTGATCGATGTTTCTCTCTCATCAATGTTTCTAACTCTCTATCCTTCTCCCTTCCTCTCTGTAGAAAATCAATAAAATATATTTTTTAAAAAGAATGCCTTTCTGCAGAGCAGAAGGAAGGATGTTTATCGCCTACTATAAAATATTTGGATTTCCTGTGCCCAAGGTTCCTTTACTATAATGCAACCCACTCGATGTGTTCTCACCCATCTGGACCTATCTGTCACCTCCATGGGACATGGGGACAGGGAGAGCTTATGCTACCTGCTATGCTGGGAGTAATATTCTTAATCTCTAACCAAGAACCTCATGTTCTGTCAGAACCTCGACCCTCCGTCAGGCTAAATTTAGCTTGCAAATAAGTTGTTCCTTTGTAAAATCTCAGACTCTTTCAACAGCCAGGACATGGACTAATTATTATTATCTTACAATTATCTTAGCCATTGTTAATAATTAAGAAGCCATTTATAAAATATTTAGAATTACAGATATTTTAATATAAATTGGATTATTTGCATAAGAGTTCTATTTCTGTTGCTACTAGTGTAGTTTTGTTTAAAAATGAATGCCATCTATTCACCTTAGCCTCATGTTGTTTGCAAAAGATCAGTAACAAAAAAATAATTAAAAATATGTATATTTGAAGATGTCATGCTTAGTTTCTTCCGACAAATAATTAGGAAATTATTTATAAGCATGTAAATTTTTACCAAATTTATAATTTGAATTTAACACCTAGGTCAGATGTCATTAAAATATTGATTGAAAAAATATATAAATTGCTAGACAAAACAAACAAACTAAATCAAAACACGAAAAAAAAAGATTTAAAAAATCCATTATATTTCTGCATGGAAAAAATACCTATAGTATGAAAAAATAGGGAATAATTGTCTTCTTGTCTTTAATAGATGACCTCCCAGAAAATAATTATTTCCTATTTTTTTATACTATAGAAGATTGTTCATGCACCTCAGAAAAACAGTTAGTATCCAAATTTAATAGGGAAATAACAGGAAAGCAAAGCAATGCAATAGCACAATGTGAAAATCACAACCATTAACAAAAGCGTGGCTAACTCCCCTTTACTCTTTGTTGATAATTTATTTAGGATTTAATCATTACAATGCATAAGTGCATATTTGTTGGCAAACAAACTCTTTAATCCAACAACATTTTCTTTTAATGATTTTCATCAAAAGTTTCTAGATTAGCCCTAGCCAGTTGTCTCGGTGGATAGAGCGTTGGCCTGTGGACTGAAGGGTCCCAGGTTCAATTCTGGTCAAGGGCACATGCCACAGTTGTGTGCTTGATTCCCAGTAGGGGATGTGCAGGAGGCAGCTGATCAATGATTCTTTCTCATCATTGATGTTTCTACCTCTCTCTCCCTCTCCCTTTCTGTCTAAAAAATCAATAAAAATATTTTTTTAAAAGTTATTAGATTAAATTACTATCCAAAAAGTTATACCACTATATATTTGCATAAATATATGTCCGAGATATTTTTCTATGTGTAAATGCATGTATATATGTATATAATTTCAAGCAATGCCTAAGTATGACTATGCATATATTTACATTACAAACATAAGTAATATCCAAAGATACAAAATGCATATTTGCATCCCAGACATTTTTTATTACCGAAAGAAAAAACACAATGAATTCTTGACCTATAAGATATCTTTTTAGTTTTGTAAGAACCCTTTAATTTTTGTGTTGTAGTTTATCTTAGATTTTCCCAAATATTACATGTAACTTTTTCTGGGCTCTTGGTTTCTTAAAACTATCACTTCCGAAGGCTTTGAGGAGAAATGTAATGTACTTTGCCACCTTTTTCAGACATAATTCTTTTATAATGCATTATGACATCATGTAGTCATATCTCCAAACCACTGCATTGTAAACATGGATATTCTTATGGATCTATTCAGGTGGATCTAGAGACTGACTACTTTTATCCATTAAGTGGTACTCTTCTTATATAATAGAGCCAGTTTGAATTTTGAAAAATGTCTTTTTCTCCCAGGTGTGTGTGTTTAGGAAGAATCTGAACTCTAAATTCTTTATTCTGGGGCTTGTCAAAAGTTTCTTGCCTTTGAACTTTATAAAATCATAGGCTTTAGAAACTCTTTACGAAATTAATGTATAAATGCTTTTAAAAAGATATATCTGGGCATGAAATTACAAGAATGGGAGCAGTAATTCAGTTTAGTTACTGTTGATAAATGGTCAATCTCTTCTTTCAGAGGCAATAGTAATAATCCAATGACAATATAAGTGATTGTCTTACTCTGTTTCACCCACAAACACTTATTCATTAATATCATGCAATAGAAAATTATAAAGGACAAAATAGTGTACTGTTGTAAATACCAGAGGAGGAGTTTTCAAGAGTATAAAGTTTTCTCTTTTGTAATTCACCATATGTTTTACTTTGAAATCTTATTTCCATATGCCATTTTATTTTGGCTCTGCATTTCCATAGTGTTAGAATGTCAATTTTCTACGATAACTTACTTTTATTAACTTATATCATTAAAACTCTCTAATAGCACTTAAAAACAAACTTTACATGTTATTTTTATACATTTCAGTGCAGGTCCACCATTTAGATACTGTAGTGACCATATGATGAATATGTGTTACATATTTTATACATCAATTATCTTAATATTATTCATTCTGATAAATAGCTTGTTTCCTTACATCATACTGTTTGTGATTAAAATGTTAAGTTCCAGGGAGACTCATTCATGCGTGTCACTTTTTAATTAAGAAGAGAAAGATTAGTCGACCTTTTTTCAAGAGATAACCACATGAAAGTCAACTTTTAATTACCCCTTTTGAAGCTTCAGTCCCAGTTGCTAACTGAGGTTCCAGAATGAAGGTTGGGAATGAGCTGCCACTTGAGAGAAGAGGTTCCCACATGTAGATCATGTCTGAATGCTGAGGGGGGTGGGGCAGGGAAATAGACATTCCCCACCACACTGAGCCATGGCGGTGGGCTGATCCTTGGTTACAGCAGGGACTCAGACGTGTTCCACCCTTCCTTCTCCCTTCCTTATACCCTGGGAGCTCTTGGTCCACACAGGGGACGGTAAACATCATCTGCTCCCAGCATCTGCTCCATCTTCTTACACGTCAGTAGCATTCTCCTCTCTTACACCGGATGCTGTGCTCAATGGCAAACCATTTCTCTCTTTTCAGACTGAGTCCTTTGCGGTGCCATAGCACATGGATTTCAGGACTGCCTGTGAGGAGGTAGGTTAAGTGGCTTTGTGCTTTTCCACTTTATTCAAAACGGGAAGCCCTTGGGCTGCCTTTTATATAAGCGGGACACTGTGTTTGGTGGAGGGATGAGGGATGGGTTTATTTTACGACCAGAGTAGCCTCTGTTTCTGAAAACTAGAAAGCCAAAGGGCGCCTGGGGAAGGCGCAGGTATATTCACTCTTCCTTTAAGAAGGAGAAGGGAGCATATTCGGCTTATTATTACGTCGCCCTGCTCCATAAACTAGCACTGCAGGATTTCAGTAGTGGCAAGGTTGGAAGTAATTCTTTCACGTAAATGGTTATAGCTCAGAAGTCATCGAAGGTCCCTTTTGGCACTAAAATTCTAGGATTTTATGACTTCAGTATTCTATAACTATTTCAATATAAGTTAATTATTAATCCAGGGCCATTCAGATTCTCTCTAGAACTGTCATCACTCCTCAGGATGAGTGAGTGTCGTGACATTGCTCTTCCAAGGATAGTAAAAGGCACGCAATGTGCAGTCAGGAGAACTGGGCTTGGGCCTCCAGGGACTGTAGCTATTCTATTTTCGGAAGAAATAGTATCTTTTTTACTCAACAAAGGGCATTCAAAGCATTGTCTTCTCATTCTTCAGGTAAAATGCTAACATTCATAGGTTAAAATATTTCACACATTTGCCTAGAAGGTTTAAATTTTTTTTTTAATTTTTAGACAAAACAACCATAACTAGGTTTCCTATGATCGAGTTAAAAACAAACCAGCAAAAAGCTTCCGTTATTAACATTTAGGAAGATTTTTTTAAACGAAATGTTATGTGTTAGCATTCTTGCAAAAATACCTTTTAAAAAAGTGCCCCAGTTTATTCATAGCTCAGAACCGAATTCTGAAAATGAGTTGCTTTTATATTTTTAAGGCTTATGTTTCTTACATTATAGTTATGGATTTACAAACCTCTCAATGCACTGAGTACTATAACATACGTACATTATTATAACAAAAGCTGCCTCATTCTCTCAGGACCGAAGCTTAAGCTCAAAGACTGGATTTTGCTTTCCAGGCAACTATCTAATAATTAGGGGGCATTTTGCACATTATTTGCATGTGGAGCGAATGAAACTTTGACTGCATTGGGAATGTGATGAGAAAGGCTTCTTTTTACTGTTTTAGTCCCTTGAACTTTCTCAAGGTGATCTTTTATGTCTCATTGATGTGTAAAAATAATGTATGTAAGGCTTCTCAGGGAAAGTCTCCTCTCCCCTCCCCAACTGGAGCAGAGCATTATTTGTGAATGCTATTTCTTCCATTGCATTGGTGGGGAGGGGGGTGGGGGGGCGGGAAGGCCTGATTGTACCATGCATTGAAAAATCAACAAATGAGAGTTCAAACGGTGTAACACTGTTCAAAACCGAAGAGCGTTAGGTGCCCGTGTCTTTATTCTGCTCAGTGTGATACTCCAGAGGAATTATCCTTCGCCACTGCTCAGCGAAATCATCGTATATGCCTAATGCTTAGGCATCACTTGTATGATTTCATTTTATTTTTTCCAGTTTTTCCTCGCATGACAGTGTCTCTGTTACTGGTTTTTAAGAGCTTGTTTATGGCTAAAGAGATATTAACCATTTCACATGCATTGCAAATGAAACACCTTGTTTTTTGTTATTATTTTACTCTGGTGTCTTACTCTTTGGTTGTATCAAATTTGTGTGTTAAATACTAGTGTAACCAAGTTCTGTTTAAAAAAGAAAATCAACAGATGTGCTCAACTATGTTCACATAGCTTTGATATTATTTACACCCTTCTGTCCAGATGCTGGCTTCTGGTTGAGATCACATTATATAAGCATGAGAGACTTTTCTATGTGAAAAACAGAAAATTATGTTTTATCTGAAGAAACATGTAATTTGCTTTCCTTGAAATATCATTCTCCAGACATATCCATTGGAGTGATGCTTTAGAATAGATTAATGGACACAATTTAGTGAGTTCCTGCTGTGTATTTGTCTCACAGAGGAGGAAAGGACATCTGCAAAACCTTAATTTTCTTTGAAGTAGATGATAACCCTTAGGAAATAATTACAGGGTAATATCATATCAAATGGGAGAGAGGGCATAATGGTATGTATTAGTGCCAGGTATAAAGCAGTTTTCAGAGAGAATTATCTTGGGAGGCTGCTTTATCTAAGCATATTCTTATCAACATTGTGAAACATCCTTTTAAAGAAACACACCTCTAGCAATTCACATTAAATTTCTATTTCAAGAGAAAGCCTAGTATGATTTGCATGGAATTGGGTGTTCATTAAATACTAAGAACATAAATGCTTTCTGTGAGCTTATCCCCTTCTCTAAATGAGCACTAAATCAATAATCATTAAATTAAAATGCAATTGCCAAAGTGGTCACTCTTCCTATGGATTTGGTGCAGAATAACAGCCAGAGACTATATGATGTCTCAAAAAATGTTTCATTTTGTATCTCTGACCAATGGGAAGGCTAAGGGCACGTGCTAGGGAGAAGCCGCTTATTTATCGGTGTGCATAGGATAACACTGACCTGCTTCAGGAGGTGACAAGTTTAAAGCTACGTGGTACAAGTTTGGAAATCATCACCGGCTGTTTCAAATTCCCAAAACAGTGTGAAGCAAAACAGTGGAGTGTGAATCAAGAAAAAAAAAAAAAAAGAATCTTGGGTCTCAAACCAGGCTCTGTTTTTGATTAATTGTATTAATTTAGGCAGTTCACATTGCCTCTTTACTTTTTAAATTTATCTTCATTGTTGGAAGTATTACAGATGTCCCAACCCCTCCCCCCTCCCTCATAAATCCTCTTCACTCCCCACCCAGGCCTTCACCACACTATTATCTGTCATTGGGTTATGCATATATGCATATAAGTTTTTGGTTTATTTCTTCCAGCCTCTTTATCCTTGTTCCCTTATCTGTACAAAGTGTGTGTGTGTGTGTGTGTGTGTGTGTGTGTGTTGGTGACTAGAAATGATGAAATGGCGAAGGTTAGAGAAGATGTTTAGGGGGTTCCTTTTCAGATTTAAAATTCCATGATAGAGGCAGAAAGTAGATTAACATGGTTGCCTAGGCCTGAGGAAGGGGCTGGGAAAATGGTGGCAATAGGTTTCTTTTTGGAGAAAATTGATTATAATGGTAGTTCTATAAGTTAATATACAAAAGTTCCCACATTGAATTATACAATTTAAGGGTTGAATTCTATAGCATGTAAATTGTAACTCAATAAAGCTGTTACAGAAACTCTATAATTAGATCAGTATTAAACAAACTGTGCATTAATTTTCTAACATAGTATAAAAACTACACTCTTTACTCTCCAAATGTTCATGTGGATTTTCTGACATCATCTCCATTACCGGGGGTCAGGGCGGGACGGGGGGGACTTGACGTGAAATGGTTATCCCTTTCTCTGCACCTACGTTAGGTGTTCAGTCTCCGACTCATCAGAGTGTGTCTTCTGTAGCTCTGACGTGTTATTCATCATGTTTTACAGGAAATAAGCCATCCAGCATAACGTATAAAAGCTAAGCATAATATGTCCTCTGTTTTTGTCTGAAGACAAAGACAGGGATTTGTCTGCTGCAGGATGGCAATCAGGAGCCTTTCAAAGTCCGGCTGCACCTGGCCAAAGACATTCTGATGATCCAGGAGCAGGATGTGATGTGTGTGTCTGGGGAGCCTTTCTATTCCGGTGTAAGTAGCTCTTCCTTCCGTTGGAGATTTTCGTTTGTGTTCGTGAAAATATTTATCCACAGAAAACTATTCGGATGTCTTCCTTTTATTGTAGAGCCTCGTCCAGCGGTTCTCAACCTGTGGGTCACGACCCCTGAAAATACATCCTGCATATCAGATATTTATATGACGATTCATAACAGTAGCAACATTATGGTGATGAAGTAGCAACAAAAATAATCTTATGGTTGGGGGTCCCCACAACATGAGGAACTGTATGAAAGGGGCGCGCGGCATTAGGAAGGTTGAGAACCACTGGGCCCTAGTTGGTCATCCTGCGTGAAATTTTTGTTTACATCATTAAGGGAGCAGGGTCCTTGCAGAAGTACCCATACTGGCTCCATGGCCACACATTTAGATGCCATCTTCAGCGTGGCATCTCATTGATAAATCTGTGAGGGCTTTCTATGTACATTATCATGACATCTAACATAAAGCCATTCACTGCTTTCTTTCCAATTGTTATGTTGTTTATTTCCATTTCCTGATTTGCTGTACTACCGTTGAGTAGAAATGAAGCAAGTCATGATCCTTGACTTGCTTTCAAACTCCGAGAGTATGCTTACTGTGAAATATAATGCTAGTGAGAAGAGACGTGGTCATTAGATGCTCAGGTTAAGGAAGTTCCATCCCATTCAGACTTTGCAGAAAGTGCTTCTTATAAATGAGTGTCAAACTTCACCAAGTGATTTTTTTGCATTTTCTGAGATTATTATGGGATATTTCTCTTCAATTGTATCCAAGTTCTTCCCTGAACTTTTTTCAAAAGAGAGAGTAGGTCTGTGTATATTCGTTATTTCAGCTGCCACATTTAAAACCAATAACAATATTTCAGTGTTGAAATACTGAATTTCACAAATTATAAAATTTTATTGATCCAGGTCCTGTGTAATATGTTTATGCCAGATTTATATAAGTCATATTTCTGTAGTTAAAAAAAAAGAATGAAAGGAGGGAGGAAGGGAAGAAGGAAGGAAGGAAGGAAGGAAGGAAGGAAGGAAGGAAGGAAGGAAGGAAGGAAGGAAGGAAGGAAAGAAGGAAGAAGAGATACATACAGCACTAGCTTTTCCTTAACTGAAAGAGAGGGTAATCCCATGGAAGCAATTTAATCTAACTTGACAGCAAGACCCTTGGTTCAGGATGATTTAAATAGTGTGTGACAAAAGAATGGTCAGCAGTCTGCAAAAAGGCCATTAGCTTTACTTAGCGAGGGCCCATTGATTTAGGACCCGGTGTGACTCCCATTGGATGTTAGTGAGGAGTGAGGTGGAAAGTTCAGCATTATTCACCACCAACAAGACACTCCAAGGTAAGTCTATTAATAAGCTGAAAATTAAGTCTTCAAGCTAAAGAGCTACAGTGTCTGGGGAATCCCGGAAGCCAACTGTTTGATACTTACTGTAATTTTCTTCTCAGATCACATATGGCAACAAAGTTAAGGTGATGTCTTTAATGTTATTGCACAACAAATGATAAGTTCTAAAACGTGTCCTGTTTTATAATAAAATTGTTTTTCTTAAAAGAAACTAATTTCACCTAAGGATATCTTCCACAGCGGTATTTCAGTGCTAGTTAGAAGAACAATGAGTGAAATTGATAATTTATGGCTCTTTCTGAGACTAAATTAGCATTAGATAGAACTTGCTAGAACACTCAGACCTATGGTGTTAGATAAAAGTCCAACTTCATTCTTGCAGATGGGAAATGATATAAATGTTGAAAAAGTTAAATCCCATTTGCTCAACCCAGCTCCAGGTTAAATGTGGAGTCTTGGAAAGTCTGCCTTCTATCCAATTATTTTTTTTTTATAGGCAATCTGTCCCTTCTTTCGGATTCCTTTGGAGATTTCAGAGTCTCTGCCTACAGTGGCCTGCAGATTCACTCTGATGCATCTTTTCTAAAGATGTTTGCTATTTGCTTTGCTTGAAAGACATACGACTTCTTAAATATGAGGGTTTCTGCATTTCTTCCATTCAAAAGAAGGATCAGTTATTAACTTCTTAAATGTTGCTTATTTCCCATTCCCTCTGTTCTTCCGTTTAGTAAATTTTTTTGCATGTATTTTAAAACAGCTCCTTTGATTCTTCATTCTCTACTTTTTCTCATATTTTATACCTGTTTGTCTCTCTGTGGAGTGCTAAAGTAATCCCTTCAGTCTTCCTTTCAGTCCATTAAACTCTCTTTGGTTAAATTTAGTCTTTTGTTTGAACTATATATGGAAATTCTGACTCTGGTAATTATATTGTTTGCTTCTAAAAGTTCCATTCTGTCCCATTTAATAATATTCTGTCCCATCATAATATATTATATTACTGGCATTCATTTGACATCTCTTGTTCTAGTGATCATGTTGATCCTATTTCTATGATTGGATCTGGAATTCTAGTATCTGCCATCTTAGTAGATCTTGGTGTGTTATTTGTCCCTTGTTTGTTTGTTTGCTGACTCGCTCACTGTGCTGTTTCCTCCTGTGACTTCTCACTGTGACCTCATGTTGTTTGAGTCTGTGGGGGATTTTTTTGGAGTTTGACGCTATAATGTGTTACAAAGACTATTTGCATCCTTAGACAAGTGCCTACGGATGCTAGCAATTTAGATATCCTTTAAACTTAATGCTCAATTAGGCTTTTGAGGCTACCCAGGTAGAACAAAATTCATTTCAAAGCCACCTGTGGACCAACTCATTTACAGATTCTCAGAAGAATTGGTTTTTAATTCTTATATTGAGAGCCAAGTTCAAAATGGGCAAGTCTTCCACTATTACTCTTTTGGTGGTTGGGATCATTTTTCATCCTTACACTCTTCGACAGGGCCACTTCTCACCTTGCCCCTGTCCTGCTAGTTGTGGGCTCCCCAGGGAGGCCATAGAGGGGGCGGGGCAGAGGTCACGTGAGCCTTCTTTCCTCCTGGTTCTTCTTACCTTCATACCACTTCAACACTGTTTCTGACAACTTAGGGTTTTTTCTTCTTTGTTATTTCCCTGACATTATTTTTTGTTTGTTTGTTTTGTTTTGTTCATGATTTTATTGTGCTGCCCTGGAAAGGGATTTCAGTATATTTGACTCAAGAGTGTCAGACCCAAGGTTAGGTTTGTGTGCGTTGGTTGTTTTTTTTAACTCTAGAAAGACTACTGGTTTTTAAATCGGACAGACTTGACTTATCATCTCAGCCTCACTATTTGCTAGCTTTGTAATCGGAAGTGAGTTCATTACCGCCTCTGAATATTGGTTCTCATGAGTGAAAAAGATGGAATACCTGATCTTCATAATTCACTTGACAGCATTAAATGAGATTGCATTACCATGGTGATTCCTAGCAGTGAACAATGAAGATTGTTCCCTTTTTCTCATTTTCTGATTATGTGCTATTTATATATTTTTGTCTTAGTTTCACAACCTTCATTTGAGGTCACAATTGTTTCCAAAAATAATGAATGAACTACAAATCTGGATATTTGTTCCTTTCTACAATTTATTTTGTGTACAACTCTGAATGCTTATTCCGGATGAGCAATTTGAGCTGGAAAAATAGTCTTTCTGTATAAAATTAGAAAATGACTCATCTCATCTCAAGTGAAATGAGTGAATCTTTTTAAATACAAAAGAGTTTCATTATTAGTGCTTTAAATCAAAGTATTCTTAATATGACATAAGAGCCTTAGGTTATCTTAAAGATTATAGACTGCCTGGCTGGCATGGCTCAGTGGTTGAGCATCAACCTATGACCCAGGAGGTCACAGTTCGATTCCTGATCAGGGCACATGCCCAGGTTGTGGGCTCAATCCCGAGGGACATGCAGGGGGCAGCCAATCAATGGTTCTCTCTCATTGATGTTTCCATCTGTCTCCCTTCCTCTCTGAAATCAATAAAAATATATACTTATTTTTTAAAAAACAATCCCTTTGAACCTGGTTTATTTGCACTTGCAATTCCAGACATATACATGAATCATTTATGTGCTGGGACATGGCAGCCTTCTAGCTCTGCTCTCAAATCTTCATAACAATATGACTTGTAGTGATAAAGATAAGAACTTAGTTGACAAAGATAATATTTACCATTGACATTGAGTTACTTTGATGTAACTAAAATATGGTCATTCCTTAGACAACAAGAATGCATAACGTGAAATTGAGGAGAGATTTAAAATTTGATCCCAAAATATGTCCAAAAAGTCATTGGAAAGAAGAAATTTTTAGACATTTAGCTATTTAATAACACTACAGACCTTTTATCTTGACAAATAAATTATTAATGTTTGATTTTAAAATTAAAAAACACTCCACTTATTGCAAGATTTGGGAGTCTCTATGCAGACACTGTGTGTGTATGTGTGTGTGTGTGTGCGTGTGTGTGCGCGCGCGTGAGCGCGCCCACGCGCCCACACGCACGCAGAAAATAAAACCTAGAGGAGAGATATGTTGTGTAAATGCAGTTTTCTAAAAGCTAACCATTTTTAACATCCTTTCTTTCAGGAAAGAACAGTGACTATTAGAAGACAAACTGTAGGAGGATTTGGATTAAGCATAAAGGTAACCTGTGTTTCCAGTCTAGCCTTATAAAGGTTGAACTATAATGCTGCATTTTTGTGTATTTTAATTTTATCTGATTAGTAATTAGATATATGGCTATAGCAAACTCCTCAATATTTGGATTAAAATGTAAGTTAAGTAGATTCTCATAGAACCTCGGTCACCTTTTGATTAAAAAATTTTGCAGAAGTATTTGGAACTTTTTTCTCACCTGGCATTAAATATAACTAATAAATGTTTGTATCTGGTTTCATCTAAAATACCAAATATGGATGGTGTTTTAGTGTACATATCATACTTTAATCAACCAGAGTAGGAAATACTGACCTATCGGTAAATGGAACAAGAGCAGGTTCTATGCTAATGAGATCTTAAGTTAAGTGTTGGTTGAATTCTATTCATTGCCTGTCCAGTTTCTAAAAAAACACTGAATTTTTATTTTTTCAAATTAAAAAGTGAACAATATATGATTTTATCTTTACAGGGGGGAGCGGAACATAACATTCCAGTTGTCATTTCAAAAATCTCCAAGGAGCAAAGAGGTAAAGTGTTAAGAGAATAATACAGTAGCCATTCCTTTTCAGCTATTGTTTTTGAAGAATAAGATGCCATTTAAGAAGCATAAATTGGTATGTCATTGAACAGCTCCAGCTTCCCCAAGACCAGGCAGCAAGTGACTGAGTCTGATTCCTGAGTCTATGCCCTTTGTTACCCCAGGGAAGGGCTTCTCTAGGAAGAGTGAGGAGGAAAGAAAATAGAGGCTATGACTGCATATGAACTGGGGGAGGGGGGGTGCATAGCATTTTAATTCTTTCGTTAAACAAACATACAAATAAATGAGATAATAACTCACATGAAGGATAAGCAATTTTATGTATTTATTATTTACAGTTCTCAGATGCAAGTTAACTCAGTTATCCCTCCACATAAACTGTTATCTAGGAAAAACATTGAAGAGGTAAAGCGACGGAAGTGTATACAATAATCAAATGTTTAAAAAGAAAGTGGGAGCTGATTCAAAGGCTGATGGACTGAGTGTCTAGATCTAAACTTTTTCGTGGCTGCCTTAAAATGGTCAGTACGTGGTAAAATTTAGTCATCACCCAGAAGAGTGACTATTCTTTTTCAAAAACTGTACGATCTGAAATGGTAGAACTAAAGAGAAACATCACAGCTCGTGTTTCAGTATTTGGGCTGAATCATGTGATGACTTTTGTATTTCCATTGTGCATCTTTTAAGATCATATCCATAGTAAGCATTTATTTTTTCTTTTATCAGTTTGACTTAAAAAAATCTTATCTGTGTGAAGAAAGTAGTTCATGCACAATCAGCTGTCCCTTTGCATTCACAGCAGAACTTTCGGGGCTGCTCTTCATCGGGGATGCGATCCTACAGGTATGCATTTTGCCAGTATTGTTTTATGGCAACCAAAACATGAAGTCAGCCATGATATACCATATGAAACTCTACTTCTCCTTCATTGCAGATAAACGGAATTAATGTGAGAAAATGCAGACATGAAGAAGTGGTGAGTTTTCTTTAAATCATGATTTTCTCCATGTGTAAATGAAGATTTAGTATATTGCTAAAAACTATTCATGTTACTGATTTGAAGGATATGACATTGGACCAATGTGCTATCAGATTTACAAAGGATCTCTTAATTGGTGGTGTTTGTTTGTTTGTTTGTTTGTTTTCATATTTGAAATAGATCAGGGAGGACAGCCCAGGATGAAATGTAACTCAAAGATATACTTAAGGAGGGTCATTTGCTATGTTTTTTCCTGTGGTTTTTTTTAAATTAATGCCTACCAATTAATGTCCACTAAGTATATATCTACATGAAATACATCTCAAAATTTTTGCAAATATTTAAAAGCAGTGAAATTTATGCCTGTAAAATCTCACACAGTAGCAGGTCAATTGGATGATCATATAAAGTGAGAGAGAGCGAGAGAGAGAGAGAGAGAGAGAGAGAGCGAGAGAGAGAGAGAGAGAGAGAGAGAGCGAGAGAGAGAGAGAGAGAGAGAGAGAGCGAGAGAGAGAGAGAGAGAGAGAGAGAGAAACAGATTTTAACGGAGCTTAATTTCAAGGCAAACAGGTTTAACACTAGGTAGATTGGTGTTCAGTTTTTATTGTGGCATTTTGTTGGATTTTGTTAAACCTGCCCATCTGAAACCTTGTCCTCAGATATTCTAATCCAGTCAGTTTAGGTTGGACCAGGAATTAGGATTTTAAACAATCAGTTCAAGTGGTTCCATTGCATGTGGCGTCTAAACTATACTTTGGGAGAAGATGGAAGGTTCAGAAGCTTCTGTTTGAGATGCTGAGACGCCGTAACAATTATGCAGAAAGGAATAGGAAAATGTCAGGGACTGGGGAAAATGCTTGCTATGGTTGATTAAATAACACTTACAGAACGTTTGTTGTATTTCTGTCATTTCATGTGGGAAGGAATAGAGGAGAAATTATGGTTAATTGTTTACACTCAAGGGTCAAGCAAAATATAAAGTATTGTAAGCCTTTTGTTTCCTACAGCTCTCATTTATTTGGTTGTGTAATACATTGCTCCTCTGCTGAAAGGGATTTAGAAAACCCTCTGATATATTTACGTATTTCAACCCTCAAAGAGACAACCTCTAGTGTCTGTGAAAAGCTGCAATTCTACAAGTAGTAATATTTATTAGGGAGGGTCCTTGATTAGGAGCACTTAGAATAATTAATCAGTATTCGTCACTTGTCTTTGTCTTCTTAAAAATCTTACTGGGGCCACCCCTATTGCCACTCTGTGGTGGATTTTATGTAAAATATGAATCTGTCAAGTCTCAAACTTCCTGCAGGTATGCACAGAGGAAAGTAGTGTATTAGGCAAGTGAGAGAACTCTGCATAGCAAAGAGCACTCTGTGTGCAGACTCATGTTAATTTTAAATATGGTAATGTAAGCAAAGATATTTTAACTTTAGTCTTTCCCCCCAAAAGTACAAAGTGATTTTAAGCTCATTATACTGGGAGCAAAATGAAGTGCATTCTCTTTTTCCAACCACATGCTGTTAGATGGAATCGGTTTTGCACTTTGCTCCTCAGAGGCAGGCAGCATGCTTAAGATAAATAGTGATGGACCTTTGATTAAACAGGTTAATGGGGCATGAAAGTTTAGAACACACTAATAATGCCACTTCTTAAGGACATCCATTCTCTTTCAAAGAAAGGGAATTTAGAATTGCATTACAAGTGTGTGTGGTGCCCTAGCTGGTTTGGCTGAGTGGATAGAGTGTCAGCCTGTGGACTGAAGGGTCCCGGGTTTGATTCCGGTCAAGGGCACATGCCTGAGTTGCAGGCTCAATCCCCAGTAGAGGGTGTGCAGGAGGCAGCCAATCAATTATTCTCTCTCAGCATTGATGTTTCTGTCTCTCTCTCCCTCTCTCTTCTTCTCTGAAATAAAAAATATATATATACAAAAAACAAACAAATTATATGTGGTCCTTCACAATAAACTTTTTTTTAAAAAAAATGTTTTATTGATTTTTTTCCAGAGAGGAAGGGAGAGAGATAGATAGTCAGAAACATCGATGAGAGAGAAACATCGATCAGCTGCCTCCTGCACGTCCCCCACCGGAGATGTGCCCGCAACCCAGGTACATGCCTTCGACCGGAATCGAACCCGGGACCCTCCGGTCCGCAGGCCGACGCTCCATCCACCGAGCCAAACCGGTTTCGGCTTCACAATAAACTTTTATCTTTAAGATGCTTAACCTTATCTCCTTTGAAATATAGGTACTGACATTCTTATTTAATTTCAATCTTTTACTTCCCAACAGAGATTTGATGCTTTTGTCCTCACTATTAATTACCTGAACAAATAGACTTACTACACCTCAGTGGAACTAAGATGTTAATTAAATGTTTAAGAATGGATTTACATGGGCAGAAAAAGTACAAGCATCTCAGAGGATGTAGATGGTCTTAAAATAGCATGCTGATATCACCACTTCCTTAGTCCAAGTCAGTAATTCACATAAAGTTTCAAATTCAGAAACAGATTTTGTAGCCACAACTATATATTGTTTGTGCATGTAACTTTTATTAATCTACACTATTCAGTCACATTGTTAGAAATTCTGCATTTAGCTCAGATCAGCTTCACTCTTATTTTACTTTTTTATTTTATTTTTTCCATCGCCATTGATCCCTTCTACGCCCTCTTCCACCTGCACCCCCACCCCACCCACACTGTTGTTCATGTCCATGTCCATGATGATCAGCTTCACTCTTTTTTAAAATTTAATTTTCAATATATTTTTTATTGATTTCAGGGAGGAAGGGAGAGGGAGAGAGAGAGATGGAAACATCAAATGATGAGAGAGAATCATTGATCGGCTGCCTCTTGCACGCCCCACACTTGGGATTGAGCCCACAACCCGGGCATGTGCCCTTAACCAGAATCGAACCTGGGACCCCTCAGTCTGCAGGCTGACACTCTATCCATCGAGCCAAACCAGCTAGGGCCAGCTTCACTCTTAAGAAGCCTTCAACAGTATAGCTGTTACTTTTGTATTGAAGTTTAAGGTTTGAATTAATGTAATGTATACGAAAATGCCAGCACAGCTCTGGAAATTTAGAAAAAGTGTACGTTATTTTATGCCATCAAATACTATTGCTTCACACACTGGCACTTATAGTGGAAGAGTTTGTATCCTGACTCTACAATCAAGATTGTTATAAAAAAAATCTATTAATATAATTGAAATTTCTATCTCATAAGACTTTTAAAATAGAACAGGTCATTACAAGGCCAAGCAGGAACAATGGCTAGATAATTCCAGAGATTTTCTTTTAACAGAACATTTCTGATTTCAGAGGTTCATGGGCCCTAAAAAAGAGATTCATCTGCTTTTTAAAAATTTTATGGTCTTAATAATAAAAATATTATAGCTCTGATCTGTGATTTTAAAATCAATTCCTAAAAGCTGTGTAATTCGCGGTGGAAACCGGACATGGTGGCGGGCAAGACCAGAGGGAGGGTGAGAGTGTGCGTGGGCGTGAGTGTAGTTGGAAAACAATAGGAAATTGAAGAAAGAACTAGAGGATGATACAAACAAACGGAAGCATACACCTTGTTCATGGATTGGGAGAATTACCGTCATTAAAATGTATGTGCTACTCAAAGCAATCTATAGATTCAGTGGAATTCTGATGAAAATATCTATGACATGCTTCACAGAACTAGAACAAACACTTCTCTGATACTGTTTCTTATCAATAGTTGGAATCAGGTTAAACACCTCCTGGTTACATCCTGTTGAGTTTGCTGATGAGTTTGGAAAATGTCTAAGAATTCCTTCTCCGTTGCTTTCACAAAGCAATATCCAAAGGAAGGCATACTTTATTGCCCTGGTTGACGCCCTTGACAATGCAATATTGGTTGCTGTTAATTCGGTGTGTGATTCCCGCCCTGTAGGGGAAGTGAGCTCGTTAGTTCCAGCAATGAACAGAAACAGTGCTGGGCCGGTCTTCAGCCCTACATGCTGTGTGTCTGAGACATCTTTATTGCGTCTCCAGTTTATGAAGCTCCGATAGGAGCAGCGTCGGCAGCAGGGTTGTAGCTATTTCCCAGTCCAGTGATCTGACAAGTTGTTGCCCCGATCAATCTGTCACCACTTCCCTCCCATCTTTTCTCTCGTTAAGTTGTAGCTGTGGACCAGCACCACCTGGGGTTATGGCTGCCCCAGGTTGCCATGGAGACGGACCAATAATAGAGACGGAAGTAGAGCTTTGTTTCCTCCTGTTATTACTGGCACACATTCCCTTGTTGTACCCAGCGCTTCAAATATAACCGAGGCAGGTGGCATGACAATAAGGGAATTTCAAAGACACGTGAGTCTAGTGTCTTTAACACTCCATCTGGGCAGAGAGTCCAGCTTCCCTTATTCTCACCTGCTTTTCAAAGGAAATGTTTGTGGGGATTGCAATCAGTCCTTCTCTCCAAGGCTGTTTCGCTTGAAAGTATTCTCTGTGAGTTTACATGCCCTCAAAAAACACTCTTCTAAAATCTCTGTCTGAATAGAAACCATTTCTATTTTATGTCTCAAGTTGAATAGACTATAGATGGTATTCATTTGCTTCTATTCATTTAAAGGGCTAGAGCTTAACTTCCCTTGTTACTAAAGCATTACTAGGAAGTCACAAGACATACTCAAGACTCGAGATGTCCTCTGCCTAACGGTGGTTTTAATGTAGAGGCTCATCTAAACACAGACTGGCACAGAACTATTTTTAACGTATTATCATTAATGTGTTTACCCTTTCCTGGCAGTTCCTTTGGATTAAGATGACACAAGCAGTTTGGAGAGAAATAAAGGTGCTAATGCACCCTGAGTGCATGAACAGAAAGTTTTCCTAACGAGCGTTTTTTGTTGGTTTATTTGTTCTTTTGCTTTTGTTTTTTGTCATTCAGGTACCAGGAGTGTCCTTAGGGAGTGTCCTTAGGGAGTATCCTTAGGGACTTCATTGGAGTAGAAGTAGAAAAGTAGATGAGAGAGAAGTTCAAGAAGACAAAATAGACAATACGTTTATAATTTTGCTAACAGCCCATCCTTATATATTTTTAGTAATTTCCATATAGGTAAGATGGGGACATATATGGCTTCCAAATAGAGTAAATGTCTCTCATAAAGTATCCGTACTATGCAGAATTCCATAAATATCTTATGGCTTATGCAGTTGTCATCTCTCCAGTATTGTTGTGCATGATAAGTTTCCTCATGTATTTAGCAACATGTAAGGCAAACTATTTTCTCCCTATTCCTTTAATATATTCTATTTGGGAAATTCATTTACACTATTATAGTTGAGACATACACATCTATTTTTAAGTATTTGAAATTATCAGACTCCCAAAGAAACTTCTGTTTTCCCCTGGCAGTACAGCTGTGTTTCTCCCTGTGCAGACTTCAGTAACCAAGGAAATGCTGGCATAGCCCAATCTGGTGACCCCACTCACAATGATGCTTATGGTATTACAGGATACTATACTCAATGAGTATCATGGGGAGGGGGAGGGGCATTTAAAATTCAGAATAACAAAAGTAAATTGACTTACACAATAGACTGAAATGACAAGATATGGCAGAAAACAGCACAAGCAACTCTAAAATGTTTACTTCTTAGGGTCTGTGTTCTGCAAACATGATAATATGCACAAATAGTTATTTAGTAATTGTATGCTGCAGCTGCAAATCTAATGTGGGTGTAATAGTGTTTGTTTTTTCAGATCTTGACAATTCATTTTATATGAGATAATCTTATACAGAATTCTAAAAAAATAAGGAAGAGAGTTCCCTCTTGTCCTTCAAGATTCTACTTAATTCTGTGCACTATTTACAACCTAGACATTTATGTAGCTATGGTTTTTAATATCATACATTTAGAATAAATATGTGCATTAGTTATTTCAGTCAAATGTGATTGTACAACATATTTTCATCCATATGAGTTTTTTTAATAACTGTATTTTCCTAGATAAATATGGAGATGTTTTGTATCTCACTATCCTACCTCAAATATATCATAACTATATAGAAAAGTACACTAAAATATGTCCAGCCTGTTAAATATGTCTTTTTCTCCCACCTTCCATTATTTTTTAATACTTATGAAAGTAATTTCATTTTCTTATACTGTATTTGTAAGAACTTACAAACTATTTTTGAAATATAATAAAGAGAGCCAGGATCTTTACCAGTGCCTGATTTTAATGACATGGTCTGATTGTTTTAACATTTTTTTATTGCTTAGTAAAATTAACTTATTAAGGTTATTCATTCAAAAGTATGTAATGACATTTATGGGCCAGCTGAGGCTAAGCCATTTGAATTCATCTGTGAACAAGATATAGCCCGCTGCCCTTATGTAGCACACAATTTCATGGAGCCGAGACAGACTACATATTAGCACAGTATCCGGTAGATTACAAGGTGCAATTGAGCATGAAAAACGATGGGCAGAGCAGGTAAACAAGGAAAGAAAGGATGTGGAGAGCTATAATTTTAAATCAGCTGATAAAGGTAGGACTCATTGGAATGTTTTTGGAGCAAAGAGTAGAAGGAGGTAAAGATTTAGCCATGCAAATGTGTAGAAAAGGGCCATGCTAGACAGAGGGAACAGTCATATTAAAGAAATATCGTGAGTTTTCTTATTTTCTTATTTTTCTTAACTTTTTTATTAGGAATTACAGCTTAATTTGACAAAACGTCCTTTCAGAATTTCTAATGAAAAAGGAAAAAATCTACCTGTATCTATCTAATCTATCTATCTATCATCTATGTCACAATAATAGATAATGTATGTATATTTAACTTGTTGATGAAATTAATTATATTGGCAATAAATTCTTGATTTTTATCCAGATTTGCTCTGTTGAAATAAAGGCTCATAGAACAATTTAATTTGTCATTTGTTGGATTCTGTATGCTAATAGTGAATTTTGAATTATTTCATCCATATTCATATTAATGATAGTCTCTTATTTCTTCAAGCTATTCATGTAACCCTTTTATATTAATTTTTATTTATTTTAGTTTGATTTCATAATATGGATTGGAAAGATCACTAATTTTATGCTGGAATAATTCTTTAAGAATTAGATAAAACAAAGTCAAATATTGCTTGATTCATTAAGGTAACCATTTTGAGATTAAAACAAATAGTGAGAAGCATTTCTATTAGGTCTACTAAAGAATAAAGCATTCTGCTTGTTGAGTTTAAAGTTCAACTCACGTAGGATGTGACTTTTCATGGGCTTTTTGCATAAAATCTTGTTTTAATGGGGGCTTCGAAAGTGATGGAATTATTTTTAGTTTGAACTTTGAAAATTTTAATAAAATTCGATCCAGTATTTCAACATTCTTGCTTCACTAAAGCGAATGGCTCTTTCCCAGACTGCAGCACACCCATACTGGTCTAGTTCTGTGGCCGTGATTCCTTTGCCAATGTAATTCTTAGAGGCTCTTTGCTGCTACTCTGATGGTTCACTTACCTTGTGTCCTTAGGGCTCCTATTGTTCCCTGCTAGTGCTATTTGAGGAGGTGAAAAGACCTTTCCCTAGTGCCCCTAGGTCAGCGGTTCTCAACCTGTGGGTCGCAATCCCTTTGGGGGTCGAACGACCCTTTCACTGGGGTCGCCTAAGACCATCGGAAAACACATATATAATTACATATTGTTTTTGTGATTAATCACTATGCTTTCATTATGTTCAATTTGTAACAATGAAAATACATCCTGCATAACAGATATTCACATGACGATTCATAACAGTAGCAAAATTACAGTTAGGAAGTAGCAACGAAAATAATTTTAGGATTGGGGGTCACCGCGACATGAGGAATTGTATGAAAGGGTCGCAGCATTAGGAAGGTTGAGAACCACTGCTCTAGGTGGACAAAAGAATGCTTTACCTTAGCCGTAAATGATTCCTCTATTGGGTAAAAACACTTAAAACATCCCTCCCGTGTCCTGTTTCTCCAGTCCTGGGGTCCCTACTCAATTCTTTTTTTTTTAAGTCTACCTTTTAGAGTTCTATTTTGGTTGTTGTTTGCATTTTTCTCTCATGTTTATAGTTGCACTTAATAAAGAGAAGCATGTTTTTGGGGCCAGAAATTAATGTAAATTATTTTGATAGCCAATTCTTTAATAACTTGAAGTTTAGCATTGTTTCTACATGTTTCATAACATGTTATGTTCCTATGTCTAGTAACTACTTTTTCACTAATCTTTTTTTATAACTTTATTTTTATTGTTTACATTATTATAGATGTCCCTACGTCCCCCCAACCTTTGCCCACCTCCACCCAGTTCTTGCCCCCCTTCCCTCTAGCCATCACCACAATGTTGTCTATGTCCATTGATTATGCAATACATTCTTTGTTCACTAATTATTCTTATTTCTTTTTTTAGTTTACACAAGATTTTTAAAATTATAAATATATTTATATCTTTTCCAGGTATGTTTGCTTTAAGTAAATCCTCTGCTTCTTATATTTCTTTTAATTTCCCTACGCTTGTCCTGGAATAAT